AAATTTAAAACTAGTGAGTTAGAGGATAAATCCAAATGATATAAGTTGGAGAGTTTTGAGAAGTGAGTTTCTGAAACCACCCCTTCCAAAGAGTTCATGCTGAAATCGATGTTCCGTAGTTGCGACATTTGCCCAATACTTTCAGGTATTTTTCCGCTTAATTGATTGATGCTGAAATCGATGTACTCCAGTTGCGACATTTGCCCAATACTTTCAGGTATTTTTCCGCTGAATTGATTGGCACCAAGAATCAAGAATTTCAAAGATGAGAAGCTTGTAAGATTGTTTAATGACCCCTTAAGAACATTCTCAGAGAGGTCCAGATCCCCTAATGAGTTTTGAGCACATCTAGGCAATAATTGAACAAACTTGGATAATTGTCCACTCAGATGATTTCTTTGAAGCGACAATGATTGCAAATTACACAGCCTTGCAAACGAATTTGGATTCGCTCCTTCAATCTGGTTATCAGAGAGACCCAGATACTCAAGAGAGCTCATGTTTCTAGTGAAATCGGGAAAGAAACCAGCTAGATTATTGTTGGAGAGATCCAGATCCGCCAGAGAGCTCATGTTTCCAATGAAATCGGGAATGAAACCAGTTAGATTATAGTTGGAGAGATCCAGATCCGCCAGAGAGCTCATGTTTCCAATGAAATCGGGAATGAAACCAGTTAGATTATAGTTGGAGAGATCCAGATCCGCCAGAGAGCTCATGTTTCCAATGAAATCGGGAATGAAACCAGTTAGATTATAGTTGGAGAGATCCAGATCCGCCAGAGAGCTCATGTTTCCAATGAAATCGGGAATGAAACCAGTTAGATTATAGTTGGAGAGATCCAGATCCGCCAGAGAGCTCATGTTTCCAATGAAATCGGGAATGAAACCAGTTAGATTATTGTTGGAGAGGTCAAGAGTAACAAGGCTTGTACTGTAGTTGGACAACCAAAGAAATATTGACGAAGTGAGATGGTTGTTAGAGAGATCAACATACGCAAGAGATGTAGAAGAATTTGTTTTGTAAAGAGTAGTGGAAAGAATTGGAGTGGGAGGAGGAGGAAGACTGCAGTTCCACAAGACCAACTCTACTAGTTTAGGGAGCTTATTAAGTACTGCTTCTGGCCAATCGAAAACAGTACTGAGATTGTTTCTGCTTAGGTCCAAATACGTTAAAGAAGAATGAGCAGGGAGCCAATTGAGATTTTGTGGTTGAAGCTGATTATCTTCGAGGTAGAGATATTGCAATTGAGTGAGGTTTCCAAACGAACTTGGAATTTGACCAATGAAATGACAGGAACTGAGACGGAGGTTTCTTAGATTGGTTAGAGAACCAATGAAATCTGGAATTTGGCTCCCATTGAAGTTTCTGCTTAGGTCCAAATCTGTTAAAGAAGAAAGAGCAGGGAGCCAATTGAGATTTTCTGGTTGAAGCAGATTATAGCTGAGGTCGAGATTTTGCAATTGCGTGAGGTTTTCAAACGAACTTGGAATTGGACCAATGAAATTACAGGAACTGAGACGGAGGTTTCTTAGATTGGTTAGAGAACCAATGAAATCAGGAATTTGGCTCCCATTGAAGTTTCTGCTTAGGTCCAAATCCGTTAAAGAAGAAAGAGCAGGGAGGCAATTGAGATTTTCTGGTTGAAGCTGATTATTGCTGAGGTCGAGATTTTGCAATTGCGTGAGGTTTTCAAACGAACTTGGAATTGGACCAATGAAATGACAGGAACTGAGACTGAGGTTTCTTAGATTGGTTAGAGAACCAATGAAATCTGGAATTCGACTCCCATTGAAATCAATCCATGCAAGGTCCAAATACGTTAAAGAAGAAAGAGCAGGGAGCCAATTGAGATTTTCTGCTTGAAGCCTCCAATTATGGGCGAGGTCGAGATTTTGCAATTGCTTGAGGTTTCGAAACGAACTTGGAATTGGACCAATGAAATGACAGAAACTGAGATTGAGGTACCTTAGATTGGTTAGAGAACCAATGAAATCTGGAATTTGGATCCCATTGAAATAAATCAATGAAAGGTCCAAATATTGTAAATGCTGCAACTCAATCAGTTTAGGACTAATCATCTTACCTTGGAAAGAATATCC